TGTGGCAGCTTGACCAAGTCCCAGTTGCCTCGTTTACCCATTTCCCCCAATTTCCTTCATGAATTTTCCAAATCAGCTGGCAGAGTGCTTGACTTGAGCATAGAAATTGGGGGGAAAAATCCCGGCCAATGTTTTATTTCGCTTTACTTTTTTTTATTTTATTTATTTTTTGGGTCGAGCAACAAATTTAATTACAGAATGCCTAGGAAAAAATGCCCCAAAATCGCTTAAGAAATTAACGAGCAAGTAGTAAATGATTCTCGTTTCCTTTTTTTTTTTCCAAAAGGCAATAAAGTTACACACACAATGCTAAAGGAGGACCTGTAAATGGCGCATAAATACCGAATTGAATACGTTGGTTAATGCCCTTACAACTTTACCGGGTAGTTGGATTTTTAAAAGTTATAGAAAGTTAGGTAAAAAATTTAAGAATGGGAATTTTAATTATGAATAAATGTGATTTATTTTATTAAAAATGATAAATGGGAGATTAATTAATTAATAAATAAATAAATATATAAATTAAATGGGGGATAAGCTTATAGCAAGAAAAGTCTTCTAAATAACTTAGTTTAATTAATATTTAAATAAATAATAAATAATTAAATTAAATAATTAAATAATTACCTTAAAGTCTAAAAACGACTCTAAAAATTCTGAAATTTGTTAAATAAATATTGTTTTTAATATAAAGAAATATTTGTATATATAAAAAGACATTAAAATGGTTTTCATAATATAAAAACGATGACTAATTATTGAAATAATGTAATGTAAAGGAAACGAAAGCTTAACCAAGAACCTAAAAATCTAAAAATTTACACAACAAATTCTTAATTTTATTAAATTAATATATTTTTTCATATAGGTATAATTTGTATATAAAATATGATTTAAATATTAAATAAAAAACTAAAAAAAAATGCCTAAAAAGGGAACTAGAAATCTAAAAAAAAAAAACACAAAACTCTGAAATAATTCATAAAATATAAAAGAACAAAAAAAATATATATAAAAGAAATAAATTTAAATTATTTAAGAAATGTATGTTAATTATTAAAATATAAACACTTCAAAAAAATTACCTTAAAAATTAAAAAAAAAAACACAATACTCTGAAATAATGTATAAAATATAAAAAAAAACAAAATAAAAATAAAAATATAAAAGCGTTAAATATAAAATATTAAATGAACCTATGCTAATTATTAAAATATTTTCTAAGCAAGAAAATAAAATCTTCCAAAATATTTAAATAAAAAATTACCTTAAAATTTAAATACAGGCACACAAAACTCTGAAAATAAAATGTATAAAAAAAAACAAAATAAATATATGTAAAAATGCAAATATTAAAAAAAAAAGCAAGAAAATATAAATATAAATATTTTGGAAATATCTAAATATAAATAGTAGGGTAAATAAGCTGTTAACTAAACCCTCAACCACATCCAGGGATGTGGAATATCTTGCAACAAACAACTCAATAAGATTCACGGATGTCCAGCCTTTGGATTTCCCTATTGTCCTGTGGGTCCTTTAGTTAAATGTGTGTCCCTTTGTGTGTGTCCCTGTGTGTGTGTGTGTGTGTGTGGTCTATTAGCCGCTTTCATTCATTTGAGATTCGCGCTGAGCGATTGGCGACGTGTAAACGATAATCAAGTAATTTCCATTATGCCTGGGCTTGGGGGAAAAAGGCTATAGAGAAGCGTTACCGTTACGCTGAGAGAGAGAGAGAGAGGGGAAAGAGAGGGAGGGGTAACCGACTGTGGCAATAAAAGCCTCACTAAATTGCGATTGTCGCGACGATGACTGCGAAGGAGATACAAAATACATTACGCATACGCCCCGTGGCCCCAAACAAAAGCAAATCCAATTGCCAATTGTTGCGATAAAGCAAGCGGAGTCAAAGGAAATGTCGATGCTGCGAGGATTTCTTTCTCTGCTTACCGTTATTTGTTGCTATTGTTGTTGTTGTTGTTGTTGTTTTTCACTATTTATTGGCAGTGGCATTTCATTGTCCTTGTCGCTGGTGACTTGGCTTTTAGACAACTTTCTTTTGCCCACTCTCTCTCTCTGCCTCCCCACTCTCTCTCCCTTTCTCTGTGTCGGTGTCTCGTTGCTCTTGTTTTGTGCTTTTAAGGCGCACGCGATAATGGCCAATGATGCATGTGTATGTGTGTGTGTGTGTGTGTCAGCACTTTGCGACAACAATGCCACCGAAACACCACCCCCACACACACATAGAGAGACACACTGTCCCCTTGGCCAGCACTTCTTCACAGTGTAATGGCAACGGCGACGGAAACGGAAGCAACATACTTGGACGCTAGGCCAAGAGTGTGAGTGAGCGAGGAAGAGAGTGGGTGTGAGAGAGAGAGAGAGAATGGGTGAGTGGGAGAGTGGTAGAGAGTGATGGGTCATTGGTTAGCTTGGAACGATTACTGGGAAAACTCAACTGCAACACTAAATGTGCGCAGCCCAGAGTAATTGTCAACAAATTGCACTCAAAACTATTTGGAAAGAGACTTAAAAAATATTTAAAAAATATTTTTAAGGATCTTGAATGATTTTTAATGATTTTAAGATATCTAAAAACATTTAAAATAAAAGCCAAAAGTTTTAATCCCAAACTTTTCATACAATTTTCAAAATTTAAAATTGTTTAAATAAAGTTTTGCCATATTTTTTTTATATTATTTGTTATATATTTTTGTTTATATATTTTTTTTAATATATATATTTTTTAATATATTTTTTTAAATATTTTTTTTTAATATTTTTTTTAAATTTTTTTTTTTTATATTTTTTTTATATGTTATTTTTATGAAAAATTTTTTTGAATTATTTGTTATGTATTTTTTTTTCTATTATTTGTTTTCTATTATTTGTTTTATATTATTTTTGTTTTGTATATATATATTTTTATATATATATATATTTTCTTATATATATATTGGTTTCATACTTAAAATATATTTCTACAAATTTTCTTCTCCATTTTCTTCACATTTTCGCCCTGTGTTATAATAAAAACGCAACAAGCGAAATGAAGTGAAGTGAAACGGTCATCGCGGATTAGCGTAAACGTAAAAAGTTCGTGTATGTTTGTGTGTGTGTGTGTGCGAGTGAGTGTTAACAGTTAATTGTTTTGCGTGCGTGTCACATGTCCCTATATCTACCAGCACCCCCCACCACCACCCACCCACCCACCCACATCCCCCTCGCAGACTCTTTGTGTCACCAAATTGTGTCATTAGCAGTCGCATAAAAAGCAAAATGGCCCGAACAGCTCATTGGCACGTTCCAAAACTCGCCATGAAGATGATGACATGGCCATCTTCTTCTTGGTTGGCTCCCATAATTTCTTAGTCTTTACATTCTCAGTCCCTCCTGCTCTCTGTTAACTTTTTTGCCAGAGTTTTATTTGCCAGCCATAAAGGCAAGTTGTTCGGGTTTTATAACCGCAGAATAAAAGTTAAAAATTTATAAATCTTGGGGTTTGGAAAGTAAAGAAAGTAAGAAGAACTAGGGCCTTTATATTTTACACAATGTTAGATAATAAATCGAAAACTATCGAATAAGTAAAGGTCCATAATAAATTAAAATCCAATCACCTTTAACTATTTTTAATAAATTTTATAATGAATTAAAATTAATAAAAATAAACTCATTTAATTAATTTTAATTTAAAAATTAAATTAGTTTTTTTTAAATTTAAAAGCCGATAAATGTTACTATCGAAAAAATCGATAATTTATATCTGAGAATAATTTCATAATATCATTAGTATTTATTATACAAGTTTTACAAAGATCTTTAGGCAATCGATAAAAAATATCTCTTGGTAACAAAAATAATATCAAATGTATTATCGATTTTTAATCGTCAGAGACTGCATAAATTCATACTAAAAATAGACAATGAAAAGCGATCATTCCCAATCGACTTTCGATATCCTTTTCAATGGCTTACGATTTGTTCGAGACCCTCGACTGTTGCAATCGAAAAATCGATACAATTGTTGAACTTTTGATGTGATTGCCAGCTCTACGGAAGCCCCCATAAATGGCAACCATGGCCGATTGCTGATATGACAGCTTCAACCAATTTTTTTTTGCTGAGCTGTTTACACTTGCAGCAGCGAGTGAGCTTAAATTTTACGCTTTTTGATGTGCCAATTTTGCGCCCAAAGAAAAAAAAAAGGGAAGTAAAAAATCGCCATATATATATATGTATAAATAAAATAAAAAACTTGCGCCAAGAGGCAGCGAAACTAAATAAATAAATGTGCACACACACACACACACACACACACAATATAACACCCACGCACACTCATGCATGCAAGTTTTATTTAAGAGTGCAAAAAGTAAAGCAATAAACACGCACACACACTTGCACACACACATACAGAGATACCGGCAGGGCCAACGGGGCGTATGTGTGTTATGCATGGAAATAAAAGTTTTCCATAATTTTGTATAAGAAAAGTTTTCTTGCGTTGTGTTCTCGCCATAGTTGCAAGTGCTTCCTGCCCTTCCCGCTGGATTTTTATATATATATATAGCTTCTTTTTTTTTTTTGATGGAAAAGCAAAGGAAAATGGTAGGAAAAACGGTAGGCGGCGGCGGCAGCAGAGGACAGAACTGCTGGCGGTCTAGGCCCAAAGTGGCTACAAAACTTTTACGCTGCTTGTGAATTAATTAAAAGATGAACTGGGCAGGCCAACAAAAGACAAGGAACAAAAAAAAAAAAAAATAGAAAAATGTCTAAGATAAAACTAAAAGGAAAGAGTATGGGTAGTGTATATATAGTATATATATATCGTATAATGGCTGTGGCACAAAGCACACCGCTGTCTTTGGGGTTAACTGCTGATGGGCCACCACCCGTAACCTTTAAGTAGACTTTTATTTTATGGCCAACGACACTTGAGTAGATTTAAGTTCGAGTTTAGGTAAAAAAATAAATATAATACAGCATTTTGTTCTATTTTTTAATGGGAATTTTGTTATTAATTTGGAATTTAGATTTTGCCAAAGGAATTTTACAAAAGGGATTATGTTATAAATTTATACTATAAAATAAAGAAATATTATGACCAAAAAAAAAGGAGTATCCAAAGGTATAAATAATGGCTAATATGATTGGGTTTTTCGAGCTAGCCATACCGGCGTGGCATCATGGCCAGATTGTAGAGACATCTTTTAAGGTACAAAGGATTGTAGCCAGTGCGTCTAACCAGGTCATCAAAGGTCACGATCGGATCACATAACTGGGTAAATAAATTATTATTAATTTTGTATTTTATTATTATAAATAATTTATTTAATTGATTTTTGTACTTACACCGTAAATTTTTAAAGTCTCCCTGTCATATAGTTCCGGAAATGTTCTGACTACTTCTGCAAAAATTCTTGCATCTTCTTTCTTCCTTTCTTCAGTCATTAGCTTGTCTAGATCTGTGTCTTTTGTATATGTAACTTCTACTGGTTCGCTTCTCCATACTTTATTTTCTGAGTTTTCTTTGGTTTCATAGTCCTTTTCGTCTCCTCTCTCTCCTCTGATTCCATTGTGTCCTATGTCTTCCACGATTTTGTTTCTTTTGTCTCCTGTATCACCTGTATCACCTATGTCTCCTATGTATTCTTTTTCTTCTTTGTCTGCTTTATCTTCCCTATCTCCTGATTCTTCAAATTCTTCTAGATGTCCCAAGTCTTTTATATTTTCAATGTCTAAAATATTTTCTACGTCATTTTCATTTTCATTTTGATGTTCAATTTCCTTTTCCATATGTATATTTCCTTTGTCATCTATGATGTTGTCTGTATTTCCTTTGCCTCCTATATCGCATTTGTCTCCTCTGTCTTCTTTGTTTTCTTTGTTTGCTTCATCTTCTTTTTCTTTATATTCTCTATCTTCTTTGTTTTCTTTGTTTGCTTCATCTTCTTTTTCTTTATCTTCTTTGTCTGCTTTATTTACTTTATCTTCTCTATCTTCTTTGTCTGCTTTATCTTCTTTATCTCCCGATTCTTCCAATAAAAGTCCCAAGTCTATTAAATTTTCTATATCCACAATATCTTCTAAGTCATTTTCTTTCTCATTTTGATATTCAAATTCCTTTTGCATATTCTTATTATGATATTCTTGTTCCCCTTGTTCATTCCTGTCAGTAGTATCTTCTTGCTCATTCTCATTGTAATCTTTCCCTTGTTCCCTCTGTTTATTCATATTTGGATCTTCCTGTTTCCTTTGTTCATTTACATTTAGGTCTTCCTGTTTCCTCTGTTCATTCTCATTATAATCGTTTTGTTCCTTATGTTCATTTTTCTTATCTTCCTGATCTTCCTGTTCTTTATGTTCATTTTGTTCAATCTTATTATCTTCCTGATCTTCCTGTTCCTTGAGTTCATTCTTATTATCTTTCTGATCTTCCTGTTCTTTATGTTCATTTTGTTCAATCTTATTATCTTCCTGATCTTCCTGTTCCTTGAGTTCATTCTTATTATCTTCCTGATCTTCCTGTTCCTTATGTTCATTTTGTTCACTCTTATTATCTTTCTGATCTTCCTGTTCCTCCTGTTCCTTATGCTCATTATGTTCATTCTGATTATCTTCCTGATCTTTCTGTTCCTTGTGTTCATTTTCATTTTGATTTTCCTGTGCTATCCCTATTCCCTCTTCTTCTGTCAAATCACTAGGCTCCAAGATGCCATCCTCTCCTTCGGGTATTCCTGGATATAGGTATAGGTCTTGGGCCATACTATCAATGATCTTTTGCAAATCCTTTGGTCTAATATCTGCTCTAGCGATTAACTCGTCGAAGGTCTTAAACTTCTCACCCCTTAAACAATTCAAAATGAACTCATAATACCTAATATAATATGGATCTTTTAGTTTGATGTCCGAATTTGTCGAAGAACAGGGTTCCATTTTAGTTTTCTAGTGTTTAATATAAAAGTGTATACTTTTTAGAATAAAAACTTGTCTCCTATTTGATGTTTGCTGTGAGGCAGCTAGAGTTGAACTGGTTTACTGGGAGTTCCTTCCTAATGTGGTGAGGTTAACAAATCTAATGACATAACGATCAGGGATTGCTTAAATTTCTGTCTATTTTATTTTTTTTATTTCCTGGTAATTATTTATAAATAAATTACAAGGAGAGAGACTTAATTTTTTCTACCCATTTTCTAAAATTCCCACAAAATCGGCTCAGCATCAAGGTGTTTGTGCATATGCATTTGTGGATGGGGGCTACAGATTTGGTTGACTTTTTCGTGGGCCACACACGACGTGTGGCTAAATCCAATACAGAAACTGGGCTAAAAGGTGGCGGCTGTGTGGGTGGGTAAGTGGGAGTGTGGAGGATTGAGGTGGCTTAGGCTAGGGGCCTGGGAATGGTATGCAAATGTCCTGCAAGAGAGCAACACAAATGCAATTTGTATAATTGACTGTGACTGTGACTGTGACTGTGGATGGGGAGGTGACTCTGTGCCAGGCTGGTTGGTCGCCTTTTCGATTTGGATTGTATTTGGGTTGGTAATATGTTTAAACAATTTGTGTGTGTGTGTCTGTGTGCGCCCTGTTTTTAACTTTCCTCTGCCCTCTGTCCTGGCCAGCATTTTAGTTCACGTGCGGTTTTTTGTGGCCTGGCGGAGTTGCAGCTGAAGTTCGGTATAAAATTGAGGGAGTTGTGCTGCCCGGAATTTGTTTGCGGTTAAATGCAATTAAAAAGAGATTTACAAGCCAGCTACTGCCTCACAAAAGTGTCCACCAAAATGGCAGAATCACTGAGACAGAGGCAGTGGAAGATTTGGCGAGACAACAAGAAGGCTAGGACATTTAAATGCTGGCATTTTCTGTGTGCATTATGTTGGCCTTCAGTTGAAATAACTGAAATACTCATTCATACAAGGAGCACATGCTACGTTTCGGTTCAGTTTTGGTTTATTTTTGGCTTAGTTTTCTTGCCAAAAAAAAAAAAGAGAAAGGAGAAAACTCTGCTGGCCTAAATGGGCATTGAGGCTTGGGAATCGAGAATTATAGGCACGGAGCTGTTGAATTATGGGTTTATTAATTGTGCAATTGCAATACTAAAAGAAAGTTTCTTTAACTTAAAAAAATATGTAAAGAAAAGGGAAATGAAAAAGGTATTTTCTACAAGTTTTTAAGATTTTTTAACAATTTGGAAATATTTTAAAACTAAAGCCTCCACTTAATACCTCACAAGTCAATGACTTTTCCTTAAGAATTAAAATATCTTGAAGGCCAGCTGAGTTGGCATTCAAATGAGGCTGCAAATTGCCTCGTTTGGATTGCGCCAACACAATTCCCATTAAAATTGACTTCAAGTTATTTACATAGCAATTAATAAATGCCATTACAGCCCAGCAGGCAGCACACTGACGCAGCAGGATATTTTTTTCTCCTGTGGGGCAAAAATGGTAAAAAAAAATACATTTTGAGATGAAGAAATGAGCGGAGGAGCCAACGAAGAAAGGAAAAATAAGAAAAAAAAAAAAAAGGTACATGTAAATATTTGAGAAAAGCACAAAAGCCAAAAAAGGGACAACAATGAAATGTAATGAAATAAAATGACAAGCGCCTCAAAAGGAAGGCCGCGCGCGGCACTGTCGCAGGATCAGGCCAAGAAGATATATCGTATGAATTATAAATGCAAACAATAAAGTATTTCCTTTCTTGTCAACCAAGACGACACAAATTAAAAATACAGATATATATATATCTATAAACAGCTAAGGGCAAATTAATGGGGATTTTATGGTTATTTTATTTGACATAAATTCAAAAGAGATCAAGTTATTTATTATTTATATAAGTTATTGCTATGTTATATATTATTATAATTAAATATTTAAATTTGTATATTAAAAGTAAATATTTTTAAATATATATTCATATATTAAATAAATATTTTTTACACTTTTAATTGATTTAAGTTGATAGTTTTCGTATAGTAAGCCACTTTAATGTCAATATCTTTAATAAATACCCTTTTTTTTATTATTATTATTATTATTAGTATTAGTAAAAATATTTTAAAGTTTTTATATATTTTTAATATATTATTTTATATTTTTATATATTATTTTATATTTTTATATATTATTTTATATTTTTATATATTTTTTTATATATATATATATTTTTTTATGTTTTTTATATATTTTTAAATTTTTTTTTACTTTTTATATATTTTTATATTATTTTTGAATATTTTCTTGTATTTTGTTATATTGTTTTATATTTTTTAAATTTGTTTATATTTCTTTTTATATATTTTACATATTTTAAAATTTTTGTATATATGTTTTATATATTTAATATATATAAAAAATTGTTTTAAATATTTTTTTATATTTTTTTAAAATTTTTTCATGTAAAATTATTATTATTCTTTTGTTTCCCAAAGTTTATTAATAAATTTATCAATTGAAATAAATAGTTTTCTGATTTTAAGCACTTTTAACTTTAATATTTTTAATAATATCCCATATTTTTACTTAAAGATACATTTATTAATTCTATATGTACTTTATATATTTTTTATAATTTTATATTATTTCCCTAAACTAGATATATCTAGTTTTGTGTCCTTAGCTGTGCTAGTAACTTCATGTCCAGAGTACCGATGTTTGGCTTTCATCTTTCCTCTCTCCAGAGATACAACCAGAGATACAAAGATACATTTTGCCAACGTCCTCGGGCGACAGGGAGCTGCCAATTAATGTGGATACTCCTCCATCCGGGGGAGTGGCAGACCAAGGACGTGACGTGCGACTGCCACTGCCGCCGCCGCCCATTTTGGTTTTTTGCAATTTTCCAAATTACATTTAGAAATTTTTGCATTTGTCGTCCGTTCGCTTTTCACTACCATTTCCACTTTCCCTTCTCCATTTCAGAGAGAGAGAGAGCTTCTCCCTTCTCCGTGTTGTTTGGGCTTAGAGCAAAAATATTTGTAAATAAATATTTGCCATGCTTTGTTCGTTTCTTTTAACGATTTCAAGCATTTCTCTTCCTTAAATATATTTCCATGTTTGCCCTGGCTGATTGTAATGCAATTTGTATGCATTGTGCATGGCCAGGCAGGCAGCAGCAGCAGGAGCAGCAGGAGTTTGGGGGAATCCCCGCGTCGCCAAGCAAAAGTCACAGGCAATCTGGCAACCCTTTTGGGAGCGGCTGGCTGCACCCTCCAAGCAGTGTTGTCAACAATCTAAGAAAAATAATACAAGGATGAAAAACAAAAAACAACAACAACACCAGAGATCTGGGAAATATAATTTAGGAAATACAATAAGGGAGAGGAAGCCGGGCCAACAATAGAAATAATAAGCAAAGGCTACTGAAGAGGGAGCTGGGATAATTATTTTTAGAAGACAAAATCTGGTTTTAAATAATTAAATTGATTATTTTATTTATGAAGTCTAAATGTATTTATTTAAAGAAAATATGTTTATATTACTGAATGTTTTAGAAAATAAAATATATAAATTTATTTTATAAATTTTTGTTTATTAAATATAGAAATACTTTTAATATGTTAATATTTCTTATATTTCTAATGCACTTTTATTTTATTTAGAATATTTTCCTTTTAAAAATCCTCATAAATTCCCGAAATTTTTTAACTTCTTAATTTTAAATCCCTTTCCCAAATTTCTTAATATTTGTATATTTAAAAAGTATAAAAAAATAAATTATAAATCATTATTAAGAGTGGAGTGTCTAACAATTGCAAATCAAAATTTTGCACTTGCAACCAATTGAGAGGGCAAAGCGTCAAAGCAGCAGAATCAGCAGCAAAACAAATCGTGCGAAAGAAAGCTGAAAGGGCAGAAAACAAAGGAAGAGATGGAAAAAAAGAAAAAGAAAAAAGAAAGGAAAGTAAAACAAAAAAAGCAGCTGATAACTTTAAAGGAAGAGCCTTAAATACTCTTACGGGCAAGGGGATTAGAATTATTTTGTAAAATTAAATATTAAAAATCCTAGACCCATAAAAATATTTATTTATATTTAAAAAAAAAAAATAACCCTAAAAAGAAAAAAATATTTATAGGATTAAGAAAAGGTTTCCAAGATTTTAGAGCATAATAATTAATTTTAATTTAATTTTATTTAATTTAAGACCATGAAATACGCCCTAAAATGTGTGACTTAAAAAATCTCACACAAGTGCACTTATAAAATTCCCAATTGGTTTTAACATCTTTGGCATGAAGTGAATGTCTTTGAATTTCTTTGAATTTCAGTTAAACATTTTTATGAGTTTTTATCTAGCCATAAATATGTCAAAATAAATTATTATTATTTAAAAAAAAAATATTTTAATTTCATTTAAATTAATATAAAATATATAAATTTTTCTTAAACACAAATAATTTGTTATTTAGAACATAGTTCACTCATTTAGTGGACTCCTTGAAAGGGTATACCTTCCTTCGATGTCATTACCAAGACAACTTTGGCAGCAGAAAGCGATAGATGCAAAGAGAACTCAATTGTCCGGCAGTTGGCTTTAACAATGGCCATGCAGTTGGACTGGAAGTGAGACTAGAAATTGAAGCGGGTTAGCGGCAATAAGCAGATTTCACATCAGGCATGCATATGGGTCTTTGTTTCTCAGGGTTTTTGGTTTTTTTCTGACTTAAACTGGCTTCCCTTCATGTGATATTGAATTGGGGAATCCTATTTTTAAATAAACTGAAATAAAATATAGATTAATCTTAAAACAATTAAATTAATAAAAGGACAAGGAAATCCTGTCAAATTAGAAATAAATCAAGAATTACCTAATGTCCCCTGATGATTAACAGGACAAAGATCGTGACAAACCAAAGGGCTCCCAGCTGAAACTTGCTCAGTGGCATTATTATTTTTATTTATATATTTTTTTTATTTCCTACAACACACAGAGCCGAAGCTGGTAACTAAATAATCTTTGTGTAAAGTTTTTCTTTGTGGCGCTCAGCGAGAAACAAAATAAAAGGGAGGAATAAGAGGAAGTTCCTGGAGCTTAGGA